AGAAATGCATTAACCGTTTCTAGTAACTTTATAAATAGTTTAGTAATATTTTTATTATATTACACTATAGCAGATATATTTGGTTAAATTTTCTCAAATAGTAATTCCGATGTATAAATTAATTTATATGCTTTTGAGTAAATGATTTTTTAATAGACATCTTGTTATTTGATTTTCTTCTTTTTATTTGAAGTCCAATTTTTACGCATACAATATAAGATGTATAAAAGAAAAACGAAACTAATCGAAGTGCAAAAACGAATTAATCAAAGGAGGAAAAAAATATAAGAACAAACCATACCAACTTTTCGTGTTTAAAGACAAAATTGAACTAAAAAATTCATGTTGTACTTTTGAATTTCTTCCTTTTATTTGAAATCTAATTTTTATACACGTGATATAAGATGTGATTTCGTTATTTCAAGTTTTCAATTTTTGTAAGGAAAACAGAATTCAAAGTAAAAAGAATAAAAGAACAAACAATGCCAAGTTTCCATGTTAAGACTGGATCAAATTAAAAAAAAAATTCATGTTGTTGTTTTTAGTTTCACTCTTGTGCTGTTTTTTATTTCCATTTTTTCACCTCCCCACCCCCATAGTTGTTATTACACTCCAAAAATTTAAAATTCTACCACAATATTGTGATAACAATTAAACTTTTTCTGCCTTAGTGTATGATAAATATATTTTAAATTCTTCACATCCCATTCATTATAATATTACTGCATGAACCTGCAAAGGTTTTACTATAAATTATGCATTACTCGAATTTATTTTGTAGAGACAAAAACTTCATTTACTAACAGAAAAATCAAGCAAGAAAAGAGATGGGGAAGGGAGGAAAATAATAAACTATTTAATATTCTTTTCTATTTCTTGTGAATTTAAACTTGTATGCGAAGCGTGTTTTTATCTTCTCACAAGCAACTTCAGCATAGCCAAAACTCTGCTCAAAATCCCAATTTCAAAACAGTTCTAACAACATCTTCAAAATCAAAATAATCCAAATGCAACAAAATTAACCTTCAAAGTCAACCAAACCTAAAATATCAAACAATGAATTTACAATAAATATAACACCAGAGACTAACATGCTAACCACAATAGATATTTTAATTTTCAACAATTCAAGGAGAAAAAGTCTTCAAACATAAAGCGCAATACTTCCAACTAACCTAAATAACTCAAAAAGGGGTTTACAGTATATGTGTGGTTATAAAAGCTTCTCACTAAGGATAGAATTGGGAATTTAAGCTAAATTATTTCTAAATTTAGAAAGGGGTCTTTTTGAAACGGACCAAAAAGGAAATAGGTTCACATAAATTGAAACGGAGGGAGTAATGTCAAAAGCCAAATAAAAAAAAAAGAAGTAAAATAAGGGGAGAAGGCAAAAAGCTGATGGCAACACCAAAAAATAATCTTTGAGATGCATCTTCACAGCCTTCGGCTTCTTCTCCGCCATAGTTTTATCATCGAAGGATTTCTCCAACACTGGCTTCTTCTCAGTCTTATGCCTGCCCTTAGGGCTTTGGATTTTATAGAGAGAAATAAAAAAATATTCTAAGAAAACGAATACAGAGGGATTTGAGGAAAAAAAAAAAATAGAGTAATAATGAGGGAGAAATAACGGAAGAGATGTAAAGAAGAAAGATGAATTTGAAGAAAAGGAGCAAATAGAGTAATAATGAGCATAAAGAAAAAGGAAGAAAGAGAGATGAAATGGATTTGATGAATAGCAATAAAAGGAGTAATAATGACAAAGAGATTTTATTTTTTTGACAGAAAATAAGAAAAAAGTTCAAAAATCCGAAAAAAAAAGATAAACTATCATACTGATTAAAGAAGCAGTGGTGCCTCTCTCAGCCTAACATTGACATTTTTCTTTATTGTCATTTTTTTGATATTTTTCCTTTTAACACCGATGAAAAAAAGTCTTCCAATAAAGAAAATTGAAAAGCTGAACCGTCGTTTATTTTCCCTGCAAAAGAAATGGTCGCTTCTTTTACTGCTCTTCTCTTCATCCTTTTTGCAAATCTTCTCTTCCTTTATAGTCAGTGGCGGAGCCAGGATCTTCACGAAGGGGGTTCAAAAAAATTTTTTGTAGCTAGTGGGAATTGAACCCATGATCTTATGTAAATTTTAAACACCCTTGACCACTAAACTGCACTTTTGGATTGTGTTAAGGGTGTTCAAAACTTAATATATAGAGGTAAAAAATAGATTTTGCCTTATATATACAGTGTAATTTTTCGGCAAAGGGTGTTCGGGTGAACACCCTTGCGCCCCCCTAAATCCGCCCCTGTTTATAGTGTCTACTTCTTTTCCTCTTCTTCCTCCCCTCGCCAATTCTCGTTTGTTGCTCAATATTTTAATTTTTGGAATCTAGCAACCCAAAGAAAAAATAGAAATTTTAATAAGGTATTCTCTTATAAAATTATGGCATTGTTATTCAATCGTAGTTTAAAATATTTTTTTCCACCAAGGAAATGGAATTTTACAATATAGATACACAAAAAGTAGAATTAACTTGTTAATAAGCATAAACAATTTTTTTTTTCAAAGTTGTGTTTGGCCAAGTTTTTAGAGTAAAAAAACTATTTTTGTATAGAAGCAGAAGCAATTCTAGAGAAGCTAGAAAAAAATAATTTCTCTCCAAAAGTACTCTTTTGGAAAGCACTTTAAAGAAAAATACACTTAGAATCACTTTTTAAAAACTTGTTCAAACACTAATTACTGATCAGAAGTGTTTTTTAAATTAATTAGCCAAGCACAAACCATTTCTTACAAAAAAATATTTTTGAGAAAAAGCATTTCTCAATATAAACTGATTTTAAAAGCTTGGCCAAACAGACTATTAGACTTGCTAAAAAGCAAAAAAAAAAAAATATGGAGAAAAATTGGAAAAAGAACATAACACATAGTATTTGCTAACCTCGAGTCCATCTCTGAGAGCATCTAGTTGACAAAAAAAAAAAAGAAACAAAGAAAATCAAAATTCAAAAGAATAACACAAAAGCACAAAATAAAGAAATTTAAGAAAAATAATCAAAATTACCTGCCAATTAACAAAACAAAAGGAAAATATAAACGCACACTATAAAATCGTCATACTCTCACTAATGACCAAAACAATAATTTTAAAGCCTGTCAAAAATTATTACTCCTCTTTTCCACTGAACATCTTTAATATCAACATATGGAAACAAAAAAAATCACAAAAAGGTAATAAGCACAACGTAATAATGAATGAAAATTACCTTCTGATTAACAACAAAAAAAAAAGAAAAATAGGCAGAGTGTAAGTTTACCAATGCAAGCAAATCTTTTATTGGTAGTTCAGCATTAGAGTGTAAGAAGGATAAAGAAACTTCTGCTTTGAAATCTTTTATTAGTCGCTAGAATTACCACCTAAAAAACGTGATTCTGCTTTGCAATTTTTTTTAATCTCACCCTAAGAAAAAATCGAAAAAGCACAAACCCTCTCTTTCATATTACTGCCTTCTGCAGTAACATAGTGGTAGAGATTTGGCGTTGCTTTACTCTCTCATTAAATAGGTGGAAAGAAGAGGAAAAGACGTTACTATTTTTCAATGGAAAAGACGTAATTCATGAAAGAACAAAAGAAGAGGAAGAGGCGTAGGTATAATTAAAGAGTATTTATAAGACGTCACTTTTGGTTTTTTTAAATAAGCACATAAAAATTAAAAGAATATATGAGAAAAAAAGGCAAAAAAAGGAGAAAAAAGATAAATAGAATCCTTGGCCAAAGAGAGGTGCCAACTCATCTTCTATTGTCCCAACTTTATATATATATATATATATATAGATATATATAGATTCTACTTTATCTTTCTTCAAGGAAGATGTATAATCATACATGAAAAACAGTTGAAGGAGTTGATAGAATATGGTATGGCCTGATTTGGGATTATTTAAACAAATCTTTTTTTTTAAAAAATTCATATCACTTATTGAATTTAATTGATAAGCATCAAGAGGTGAAGATCACTTTTAAATGCTGAATTTGATTTTATAAACAAATACTTACGTTTTGAAGCGAATTGTGTCACCTAAAAAAAAATTATTCGTAAGAATTTTTTATTTATTTAATGTTTATATTAGGCTAGGCTCTGTAAACCTAACACAAGCATTTTTAATAATCAATTTTCCTTTGGGGTGCCGCTCTTTTACAGATCATGCATGAACGCGGAATGCCTTGTGCATCAGGCTGCCTTTTTTTTATCGTATTTTTTGCTAGGAGAAGAATGAACGGCTAAAATGAATAGAGAGAGAGAGAGACAAGGATTTTGTTTAGGGAAGGATATTAGGAAATAATTATCAAAAATATTGATAAATCATGTAGGGGCCAAGCAAATATTTTATTTTAGAACAAGTTGATAGGAGTTGGCTGATTTTGTATGATTGTCAATTTAATATTATCAAAACAGACGACTCAACTCATGCAAACTTAGTCAAATCGAATTATTGAGTTATAGCTTAATACTTTTGGATCTAAGTAAATCTTAAACAAATTCAATTATAGTTTGTCTAAACTCAACTTATTTAATTCGTTTAAACCTAATCAATCTCACTTATTTGACACGTTAGGGTGCCTATTTGGACGCATAAAAAGTATAATATGCTAACCATCAAAATTTTTGGTTAGAATCTTTGAGATTTAAATCATTTCTCAACTCATTCTAACCTAAGTAAAATTTGAATGAGTTGACTTTACTTACTCAACTTTAAAGTTGGGATCTTTACACATAGCTGGTCATATTTGTTGTTTACATTTTCTAGCCATATACATAGATCATACATTATTTACACAATTATACACATGTAATACATAAATTATGCATATATTATACCTCCACCAGCTTTTTTTAAATTTACACGGTTGGGTGGGCTGCTATTTGGGGTAATTATTCTTTAAAGTTCAACTCAAAATTTAGAACATAAGAATCTGATTATTTTGAAGCCCTTTAGACTCATCATCATCATAAAATGATACAGTAGATTAATAGAACATACAGTAATCTACCAAGTTGCATTTGTTGTATAGACAACAGAATCCAGTTTCTAAAATGAATATACAAAATGCAGCACAATTAAAAAAAATGCACCACAAACCAATCAAACATACACTAAAATATCGAAAGAGGAATTAATTGTGAAGACAACAGAATCAAGTTGGCTTCTTTGCTATCTCTAGACTATCTATCTTGACCACATCCTTTTTTTGGCGTCCCTCTCTTTAGCTCCCTGAACAACGGGCTCTCTGCTTGTTTTATTACGAATCAGTGGCCTCTGAGCATTGGTGGTAGTTGTAGTTGTTGGCTTCATTCCTCTTGGAACACCACTAGCAAATGGTTTAGGTGGATCAGATTGCCTGCCCCTTCTATCACTTGCTGATACGGCAGCAGCATTGTTCTCTGCTTCGCCATTTCTAGACAACCGCTTCCTTCTGGACTCTTGGAGGAAATCCTGTTCTGTCCTGTTATGTACTGAGGAAGTTGGCAAAATACCATTGTTCTCTGTTTCACTATTTGTTGACAACCGCTTTCGTCTAACTTGTTGGACAGAGTCCTTTCCCTTCAGGAAGTTAGGCTGCTGGCTTGCCTGGCGATTCAGAGAATTTGAGCTCCTCAAAATACGTTGCTCAATTTCACTTGTTAAATTTTCTTCTTTGCTTTCAAGTGGGATTGATCTTAAAGAGTTGGCCTCAGAATCTATAACAGGCACGCATGCCAATTGTTGTTCTATAACAGGCACGCATGCCAACTGTTGTTCTTTCTCCTTGATCTTGTCTTCAAGTTCCTTAATCTGGAAGTGTAAGACATTGTCATATCATGACGGTTTGGCCAAATCAAGTCCATAATAACATTGTTATGTTTCACTCTTGTCAATATCATAGAATAAAAGCAACATACCTTCTGACGGAGTAGAATGCATTCCTCTGCATTTTGTTCTTTTGCTTTCAGTTTTTCCTCGAGCTCCTCAACCTGAAAAACCAGGAAATACTGCGTCACTTTTAGGTTCTTGCTAAATTTTATGGGAAACTTCAATCTGGTAATATGCTTGAGAATGAGAACTTTATGTTGAAGGATTGTTATGTTTCACTCTTGTCATGTTTCACTCTTGTCAATATCATAGAATAACAGCAATATACCTTCTGACGGAGTAGAATGCATTCCTCTGCATTTTGTTCTTTTGCTTTCAGTTTTTCCTCGAGCTCCTCAACCTGAAAAACCAGGAAATACTGCGTTACTTTTAGGTTCTTGCTAAATTTTATGGGAAACTTCAATCTGGTAATATGCTTGAGAATGAGAACCTTATGTTGAAGGATATTAGACTGAGACGCGAACTCTTGCTCCCGCTCTTTCAGCTTGATCTCGAGATCCTTGACCTGCTTTTATTAGCATTAAACAAATGGACTTATGAATATCAAATGTGTGTCCTATATAATAAGACTTCTGCAAATAAAATTGCTATTAGCCAATTGAAAGAACCTTATTGTTGAGGCTTTCAGACTCAAATTGATGTTGCTGCCTCATCTTGTTCTCTAGCTCTGAAACCTGTATCAGAAGATACAAAAAGTAAAATCAGAATGATATGCAAAGCATTACCATATTAATCCATATTGAAATCACAATGATATGCAAAGCATTTCCTTCGATAGTGTTGGTTAGTTTTCTTTAAAGTTTAAGAGAAGCCAAACAAAGATTTTGAGCGCTTATTGATGAGAATCATAGCAATACATCTTCAGTTTTTGTGACTATATTTTTCCTATGGTGTCTATTAAGAAATGATCTCTTTAATGATTTTGAAAAGAAATAAATAGCTAAGGGGCTTGGCAAACCGTAAAAGTTAAAAGGACATGGTGCAGAAGAAAAAGACATACACCAAGTATGTAATAGCAGCAAGTTCCTCCAAATTCACAAAAAAAATATGAAGGAAATGCATTCCCTAGCATAACTGGTAAAAGACTTCGCCACTTTATTAGCAAGCTTATCTGTGATAAAGGAAGATGTATCAGTTTGATCCCCTTGAATATTACAGTCCTTTTATTATTTTGAAGAGAGAAAGACAATTTGTCTCGACCTTCTGTTCACTAAATTGTACAAGTCTCCTCCTATTTGGATTTTTATCAGAGAGACGAATTAGATCTTACTTAGGAAGACAATTAATCATCTTACACCAAGTCAGCTTCAAGATCACAAAAGAAAGATAAATTAGCTCAAGGAACTCATTTATAAAAACTACCAAAGGGATGCTCATAAGGTTTTGCCAAATATGCAAATCACCCAAAATCTGAATCATATGCTATCCTGCCTCTTATCCCTTGAGGTCTTGCCAAATTGGACATGATTCAATTTTCTTTAAGTCAAATTCAGATATAGGACACTATACCTAAATATGAAGGCACTAACTTAGCCAGAGGGCACATATTATTTTTCACTCTTTTCCCAAATCACTCTTTGGTCCTTTAAAAGAAGTTGGCCGAAGTGGCTTTAAACCTTTCCCAACTACTGCTAGTAATTAACTGTTTGCTAGTATTTGAGAGCTTTAAGACTGGATGCTGCTGTTAAAAATTTGACTTATTATGAATGTATATCTCCTAGTTAAACACTGACACACTGTTTATTGTAAAGGCTAGTTGTTCTAGAATGCTGCTATGTATGTTAACTCTGAAATTATACTATTCTGATGAGACTAATGTCATCTTTTGAGGGACAGAGAATGCAACGATCACTCTAATTAGATATACGGACAACAAAAGACAGGAAACCTAATTAGATATAGAACAAAGCTTAATCATCATTTGTAAGTAAGCAGAATATGATTCGATTAAAGGATACCTTCTGTTGCAGAGCAGCACAAGTTTCTTCCCGTCCCTTTAATCTCTCTGAAAGCTGTGAAAGTTGTTTCTCTGATTGACCATGTAATGATGTCTTTAAATTGAGCTGGCTTTCCAGTTCCTTAATCTTATCCTGTTGATTTTTGTTAACGTGTTCTTTCCCTTTAGCCTTACTCTCTAAGTTCTGTAGGCTTTCCTCAAGTTTCTTCAGGGACTCATCTTTGGATTTAGCTTCCTGCCTTGCTTTGTCAAGCTGCCAACAAAAAAGAACAACAACGAAAAAGAAGAGAGGATTACAATAAGTGGTTGAGTAGCATTTTGTACCTAAGAATTCTTATAGGCAGATGAACGGAAAACTACACTTGGAAAACATTCTACAAACCATCATTTTCAACTTTTGGAGCTCGCTGGTATCAACTTGTTTCCTTACAGGACCCAACTCAATTCCTCTAACTCTTGTCGCAAAGTTCAATGAACTTATAGTTTCACTTAAATCCTTATCAGAAGGGCTGATTTGCACAAACATCAAGGCTTTTGAATCTCCGCCTATAGGAAAGAGCCAAGTAAGTACAAACTTAGAAGAAAAGGTGAACTTTGAAGATCGGAATCTTACAGCTTTGAACACTATGGATATTTGGAAACCAAATTTCACTATGCCCTAGAGGTTAAAGAACTATTTAATTACCTAATGAATCTTGCAGAAGATGTGTCAGCTTGGAGTTCCTATTGACAAAGGTAGAACGTCAGCATGAATATTCAATGACCCAACTGTAACCTTCAGGCAATAAAGATCGCATATTACCTGTATGGAATATGGTTGCTTCTATTTGCTAAAGCAGATATTACGTCTCCTAGAGCTGAAAGTGACCTATTGATATTTTGAGCTTCCTTCAGCCTATCGCCTTGGGCATCAGTCTTTGCAAGCCTCTCACTACCAGCTAAATCCACAAGCCAAAGCTTGCTCTTTGTGCACTCACCATTAATCAAATTATTGGCTGTTACCATAATACAAAGCATGCTGGAAAAAAGTGGAAAAGATTGGCCAAAAAATAGTTAGTTAGTGAAACTAGATCAGTGAAATGAGCTACAAGAAGACAGTTAGAAACTCAATCTATTTTACCAGTGAGAACGGCTACTGTGCTCATTCACGTTGTTAGATCCAACAGCCCGTGCACTACTTCCAGTCTGTAGCACATTCCAGACTTCTTCTATGTTCTCTACTTTGGCTTCCACAACTCCTGGAATGTGATGAAGCCCTTCCGTAGCTTGTTTTATTTCCAACCTAAAACAATTTCATCAAGTTAACAGTCAATCAGAAACCTTATTGCGCCAAAGTAACAAGATTTCACTTGTGGCACATGACAAAATAGAGAATATAAGAGAAGAAGAACTATACTTTTTTGATGTTGTAGGTGGAGACAATAGGTCCCTGATCTGTTCATTGTAAACTTCAAGCACGCTAACTGATATGTCATAGGTGAAAGTTTCACTCCTCTCCTTCGCAATTTTGAACAACTCTTCGAGAGTCCGATAGTTGACTCCCCTGTTCCCTTTAGTACCTTCCATGGTGAATGTTTTGCCTGTTCCCGTTTGTCCATAGGCAAAGATACATACGTTGTAACCGTCTAAAACTGAAATAACCATAGGTGAAGCATCGGCATAGACAACACCTGTTAAAAGACAAGATAAAACTATTAGTGGGAGAAAACCTTTTCTATTATTTGTTTTTCTCAAGCTTGTATTCACTAAGTTGTGCTGAGGGAACACCTTGGTCATCCCTGGGTGTATATACACGGTCAAATTTGAATGTTTTTTTCATGGAGCTGCTATTTAAGATTCCAAGTTCTCCATCGTTGGCTGCATCAAAGTCCACAACCGTTGAGCACCCATTTGAGACTTCAATTTTGCTTAATGGACGGCAACGGCAAAATACTCTAATATTCCCTGGAAAAGATGGCTTGTCGTGAATAAGTAAAAAGAAAAAAAGAAGAAGAAAGGAAATCATAATTTTATTAACTTCCATCAACGATTTAATGATTATTCGAAGGAAAAGCATTGCAACCTTTCGCCTCCTGAACTTCATTGAAGAGCTTTCTCCTCTTTGCTTGCTCTTCGTTATACTTCATCTTAAGATCTTCATATTGTTCAACTGCAGATTATACAGAGAGACTATTCAGTCCATGATTCAATGCTAGGTTATGGTGATTTGAGAATAATACAAACTAACCCAATGACTGAACTGCGAACACCATTTTATTCAGATCCGGGATTGAATCTGCACACTCATGTGCCTCACGAGAGAGCTGGGAGTGCTCCTGTTTCATTTTCTGCATTGTTTTTTTCCAGAATGTCACACATGCAATAACTTTCAGACTACATTGATAACCTCTAAGAAATTACAAGGCTGTCATTGTCTAGGAATTTCCGAAGTACCTTTACTTTCATGTCTAAATCATTGATTGCCATGTGCCAATAGTACTTGTCACGCTCGTACTTGGTTGACATCTCTGTCAAATTCTTAGCTTGTTTCTCCAATTTCTGATCTGTTAAAGGTTGACGTTGCTTCAAATTATTGTATAAAAACTAAAGATAATGTCATAGACTCATCAATAAACTAAAGAGATAGCCCAATCTAACCACCTATAACTGGACTCTGTGCACTAAAAGCAGACAGAAAACTCTGTCAGTAGTCATCCAATATTCAGTCTATGGAAATTGGCATGCAAATAGCCTTTCCTTTTTTTAGAAGAGAAAAATTTCTATCATCATTAATTCACCTTGAAGGTAGGAATGATTCTTCCAGATAGTATAACAAACCAAATAGGAAATCTAATTAAGAGAAGTATCAATACAAGATTTATGTAAAAAGGAAAAACGATCTTAATGTGAGAAGCTGAAGTGGTTTGACAAACCACCCTTTCTGGAAGTCTATATAGGCTTTCAAGAAATGAACACCTATTAGCAAAAGTGACATTTAAAGCAAATGTTTTTATTCAACCACTTCAAATGCCAGCATACATATTTCTGATAATACTATCAAGATCTACAAGAGAAAGCCCTGAATTGATTTTCGGAGTCATATATGATCCTAGTTCCCACTAATGAAACCTGAACAAAATAAAAATTAGTATAGGTTTTATATTCATATCCCTTACCAAGTGAATACGTATCAAATGTCTTATTGTCCAGCTCCATCCGAACCTTCTCTAGTTGCTGGTTAGCTGCAGTATAAGACATCCAAGATTGATAACATTCATCCGTCTTGCGCTCCAATAATTCACCAAGCTCTTGTATTTTCTTCTCGTACTTGGCTGTTGCCTGCAATCTTGCCACTTTTTTCTGCATTCATCCAAGTGGTCAAGCCTAAGCCATGGAAATTTCAACAGTCTTACAGGTAACATTTTCTGGATCTGTTATGACATACCTGCGCGGATGGAATATCTATCTCCGCTGCGCAGTTTCTGCATGTAAGGCGGTCATGTTCTGCTTGAGAAGCTGCAGTTCAGTCAAAGATAGCTCCAGAAATTAGCTCCCCCTCAACTCTTTTAACTCCATTCAACAAATTAATCAAATAGTTAGAGGCGACTGGAGAAATACCTGACACTTCTGGTGCTTTCCTTATGCAAATCCCACTAACCACAGGACTGCCAATAATGCCTTCAAATTTTATCAAAAGTACCCCATTGTCTTTGATGGAAACTCTTGAGTCAACTAATTGCAGAGGTTTATTGGCTCCAACAACAGAGAAGATGTCAAAATCAGACACAACCTGCATATTGTTACAACTTCTTAATTCTAAATCAAAACAAAAGGCACCAACAAGTAACGTTCCATGCCAAATTAAACTTGCCTTTTCATCTTGTAGAAAGACGTTGAACACTCTCATCCCTTTAGGCCCATTAACATTTATAATCTCGACAAAATGAAGATCAACAAAGTAATTTCCTGGTGTAAGATTGTCAATCCGATAACAGAAGTTTCCTAATCGTGCTGACTGGTAAATAAAAGCATGTTCACCACCCTCCGTTATGAACTCCTCCGTTTGAAATGTATCTCCACCTTGGTAAAAGTTATCAGCCAGAAAGCTCAGACTGGAATCCAACTCTACTGAAGTCTCCGATCCAGCATTAAGAAAAAGCACAAGGTCCTCTAATTTCAACAAACCATGTAAAAATGTCAGTCTATAGTTTACTAAACATAGTAGCCTCAAAAGGTAAAGCACGAAGAGAAGAGAAAGACTAAGAAAAAGAAAATGTGTGTAACACATAGAACTGTTTCATAACAACTTATAATCAGAGGCGGATTCAGGATTTAAACTTTACGGGTTCAGATTCGCAATTCTATCGCATCTCATCAAATTTAATGGCTTCAAATTTATTATTTGTACATATTTATTGATTTTTTGGGCAAAAATATAGGGTATGAGCGAAAGCTATGGGTTCAGTTGAACCCATAGCTTCTACACTAAATACGCCTCTGCTTATAATATTCCCTTTAATTGACTTTCTGAAGATGAGAAGAGCTTTTTTTATGTAGTTAAGCTAAGTTCTATATTAAGTTCATGTTCTTTTCACCAAGTGCTCAAACTCATGTCACAAACTGTTAAAAAAAGATACGACAACAACTACACCTAAGTCCCAAACAAGTTGTGGTCGGCTATTTAAAAAATTAATCAGTGTATTTAACATAGATATTAAATTACAAGTCTATTTAACATCAATTGAAATAAAAATCCCCACTTCCCCGCGAACCATGTACTTTGCATTTAGCAAGATCCCATTTTTGCTAATCTTAGACTAAACCCTAACTTAAGCACAAGAAAATCAAATCGAAGAGATTAATGATTTTGTCAAACCTGTACAGCTAGGTCTTGTAAACCCACTTGGGATTAGTTTTGAACCGGAGTCACAGACCATCGAATCGGCTAAAAACTGAAATGTTTCATCTTGATCTAAGGGTTTTTCCCATTCAAAATTCTTGGGTAAATCTTGAAAAGGGGTTTCTGGGTTTTGCTCAAAAGGGTTAAATTGAATACTGTCCATGATCAATTTTGTAATGGGTGTCTGAAAATCTGAGAATCCTGAAAAGCAAAGAGTGGAAAAAGCTTAAAGATTAAGTCTTTAATGGAGGTGTTTTTTGGGTATTTCTTGTGGCGGAAATGTTTCATTCAAATTTCAATCTTCTGACCGTTCAAAAGGAAAAAGATGATTACCGTTACTTTTGAAGTCTGGGTCAACTTTGGGCCTAGCTGAATTGGGCCGAGGAAGTCCAAGAGATTAATTTTGGGCTTGAATGTACGCAGGATTAAAATGGGGCATTTGCATATATACCCATTTTTGGGTCCACCGTTGAATTTATACCCATATTGCACAAAACTTTAGTTCAATCTCTTTAATGCAATTTTAGAAATCAAATCTTAAATTCTCATATCTTTCAACTGCAACTTCAGAAATTCAAATCTTAAGTAGTTCTATTTTTTAGTACAACTTTAGATTCAAGTTCTTCTATCTTTCAATTGCAATTTTAGAAAATTCAAATCTAAAGTAGTTCAATTTTTCAGTACAAGTTTACACAACTTCATATTCAAATCAGATTTAAAATCTGACTCTTAAGTAGTTCAATTTTCAATACAACTTCAGACAACTTCATATTCAAAATCTAAAGTTCTGAAACATAAACTCTTTCTTCGAATTTCAACAATCAAACATATGATTCAACACACAAATCTTTTCCAAATGAGCTCAGATTTGAAACATAACTTTCAAATATCATAAAGAACAAATCTCAATTATCAAATTGTTAAAACAACAACAAATTTAACAAACCCATTTTGCAACTAAGAAGAAGAAGAAGAAGAAGAAGAAGAAGAAGAAGAAGAAGAAGAAGAAAGCATCAGCGAAGAAAAAGAGAAAAATATATGTTATATGAAGTTATTAAAAAATTGGGTATCAGTTAAACATTTTTTTAAAAGTTGGTACAAATTCAATCGATGGTGCAAAACTGGGAACCACATGAAAATTTTACGGATTAGATTCTTTGATCACAAAAAAAGTGGAATTTATGGGTAAAACTTACTTGCACGATGTATTTTACACCAAATCAATTAGTGCAAGATTTATTATATTCTTACTTTAATTTTTAACTAGTACAGTTAAATCACTGTGACGTACAAATTGTATTTGAAGCTGTATTTTGAATATTGAATGAGTTACTAACTCATTTTCTGCAATTGCGGCTTACAAATTACATTCAGTAATTAAGTTTTATATATCTCATTTGTTGAATGCTATTTATTTTTATTATATACCTCCTTATCCTTTTGTTCGAGCCACGTGCTCCATTTTTTTTTTTGGAAATTCATAGCCGTTACTCTTCGAGTGCGTATTAGGTAACCTGCTCACCAGACAATAGTTCACAAATGAGTTGCATTAGGCAATTTTCAGTGTGACAGCTCTGAGTAAGGAGGGAGAATATTGTTTATATTTTACCAATGCGATTGGCACATTTATGAGAATTCCCACAATAACAACATAGTAATGAAATTGATCGGCCAAAAGTGCATTTAAATATGCGCAACACTTAACTTTTTATTTTCGTTTTCCAGTCACAGCTCACAACATTTATATATGCATAGTGTATACGGTGGAAATCAGGGCTACCCAATTTCATCCTTTGATAAAAAAAGAGATACCACGTCGAAAGGTCAGGACGTCGAGTCCAGGGTCGGAGTTTCTTTCCAAGATCGGGGTCGATATTGGGCGAGATATCCGCAACAGATCGAAGATCGTGGCGTGAATTTCGGAATGGATTGATCTTCGGCGGTTAATCAGTTATCAAATATGATTTTCTACTATAATTAAAAGTGTACCTTGTTTAGAACTCCTCTATTATATAAAGAGGGATCCCATTCATTTGTAGGCATCATTGTTCAGTGATAAGAAGATATACGTTCATTACTTCCTTGCTATTTCGCTTACGGTTCGTCAAAGTTGCTTTATCATTTGCTATTCCTATTATGACACCTCGAGACTATCACAAGTCGAGGTCGAAATTTGGCTAGCATACTGGTTTGATTTATTTTATTCTCTAATTTATCTATTTAATTCCTTGTTTATCAATTGGTATTGGATTGAATCACATATCCTTAAAACCAATAAGTTTAATTGTTACTCAAAATTCTGGGTAAACAGTTTGGCGCCCACCGTGGGGCTAAGGATAATAGTGATTGTCCGGTGCTGATTCTGATGACACACGTTATTTCACGTTTGTTCTTGTCAAGTATTTTTGCTCTCAGGTTAAAACATGTCAAACTCACAAAACGCACCCATACATGGTGATGATGGTCTAGACTTTCACGGGGAAAAAGACAATGTAATTGCTCCAGGAGTCGGGGTGCTACCGGCTAATCTCGGGGGAGCACCGGTTGCAGATCCAGTCGATGTCAGTTCGCACGTTGCTCTAAATGTAGACCTAGGCGCGGACCCCGAAGGGAGTGTATGCAGGAAAGGCCGATCTGGTGGTCAAGGTACATAGGGCAAAAGAGACGGAGGAATTAGTCTCTAAGTGATATTCGAGATGCTACAGGCTCAACAGGCCGCTATTTCTCAGTTGCAAAGTCAACATGAAACTCCAAGTGGGGTCGAGCCAGAAATCACTCGTCGTACCGAGCCAGTGCCAGAAAGGTCGAATGGTAATGAATCGAGGACTGATCCTGCAATAATAAAAATGCTCGAGGAGCTCACCAAAAAAATTGAGTTAGGAGAGAAGAAAATCGAAGCTAATGATAAAAAAGTGGAAACATATAACTCCCGAGTTGATCAGATACCGGGGGCACCCCCGATCCTAAAGGATTTGGATTCCAAAAAGTTCGTGCAGAAGCCTTTTCCTCAACGTGCGGCTCCGAATCCCATTCCTAAGAAGTTCCGTATGCTGGACATACCTAAGTACAACGGGACCACCGATCCAAATGGACACATCACTTCGTACACGCGCGGAATAAAGGGAAATGACTTAGAAGATGATGAATTTGAATCTGTGCTATTGAAAAAGTCCAGAGAAACCCTTTCGAAGGGAGAAATGGTTTGGTATCACAACCTGCCACCAAATTCCATTGACTCATTTTCCATGTTAGCAGATTCTTTCGTAAAGGCACACGCGGGGTCCATAAAGGCCGCAATAAGAAAATCGGACCTTTCCAAGATAAGACAAAGGGATAACGAAATGCTGAGGTAGTTCATATCCCGATTTCAAATGAAACGCATGGAGTTTCTACCGATCATAGATGATTGGCCCGTTCAAGCTTTCACCCAAGGGTTGAACGAGCGGAGTTCGATAGCGTCACGTCAGTTGACACAAAATTTGATCGAGTATCCAGCTGTAACTTGGGCAGATGTGCACAATCATATCAATCGAAAATCAGGTTCGAGGACGACCAATTAGGAGCCCCTTCCGATTCAGTACACCCAAATAGGTCGGCAGTTAAAACCTAGAGGGGCATCGACAAGGAGCCAAGGTCGAAAAGAGAACGATATCAACCATATACCGTAGATCGAAGGAACAATGGTTCAGGATGTAATTTCGCCCAGAATGATCGAAGAAGTGATCGAGGACAGAGTTCTCGGGGACTTATGAGCAAAAGTGGTTTTGATAAGCAGGCCGATCGCATAGAGGCACCTCGATTGTTGAAATGTAACTTCAACATCGACGCAACGGGCATTTTATCGGCAATCGGAAGGATCGATGATACTAGGTGGCCCAGACCCATACAAACCGATCCTTCCCAAAGAAACCTAGATTTGATGTGCAAGTATCATGGCACGCATGGTCACAAGACCGAGGATTACAAGCAATTAAGGGAGGAGGTAGCCCGTCTATTCAATGAGGCCCACCTTCGAGAGTTCCTCAGCGATCGAGCCAAGAATCATTTCAGAGAGAGGGACTCCAACAGGAAAAATGAACAGGAGGAACCCCAGCATGTCATTCATATGATCATCGGTGGGGTCGACATTCCACATGGACCCATATTCAAACGCACTAAGGTATCAATCACTAGGGAAAAACGAACCCGAGATTATGTGCCCGAAGGCTCCTTATCATTCAATGATGAAGAAGCAAAAGGCATTTCTCAGCCACACAACGACGCTCTGGTAATTCATATCTTGTTAAATAAAGTTCAAGTTAAGCGTGTTTTAGTGGATCCAGGTAGCTCGACAAATATCATTCGATCGAGGGTCGTGGAGCAGCTCGGCCAATAAGATCAAATCGTGGTCGTAGCTCGGGTCTTAAACGGCTTCAATATGGCCAGTGAAACAACTAAAGGGGAGATTATTCTACCGGTGAACGTGGCTGGAACCATTCAAGATACCAAGTTCCACGTGATCGAGGGAGACATGAGGTACAATGCCCTACTCAAAAGACCTTGGATCCACAATACGAGGGCGGTCCCTTCGGCTCTCCACCAAATAATGAAATTCCCGATGTCGGAAGGTGTAAAGACAATATACGGGGAGTAGCATGCTGCAAAGGAAATGTTTGCGGTTGACGAGGTAACGTCGATATCGAAGTTATCAACCTCGGAAAGGTCGAGCATCAAAGGTAAACAGGAAGCCAAATGCAATCACAACCACCAGCCTCGACCGAATCGGGGAAACATGAGATAGAAGAAGAAGAGAAGGATTTCTAACCCCTCGAACTTTTATTTTTCCCGAAGATTCTGACGCCACCAAATCAACGGCCGAAGAGCTGGAATAGGTTATATTGATCTAGTACCTGCCCGAACGAAAGGTATACCTGGGAACGGGATTAACCCCCAAACTCAGGAAAAAGCTTTATTCAATTTCTTATTGATAACATAGATTGTTTTGCTTGGTCCCATTTAGACATGACAGGGATCCCACCGGAGATAACGATGCATCGGCTAAGCCTTGACCCTAGGTTCAAACCGGTAAACCAAAATAGAAGACCCCAGTCCGAGGTAAAGCACGCATTCATAAAGGACGAGGTAACTAAACTTCTCAAAATAGGGTCCATTCGGGAGGTGAAATATCTTGAATGGTTAGCCAATATAGTCGTAGTCCCTAAAAAAGGGAATAGACTTAGAATGTGTGTAGATTATAAAGATTTAAACAAGGCATGCCCCAAAGATTCTTTTCCACTGCCTAACATCGATCGCATGATCGA